CACACACACACTCACTCACTCACACACAGACAGACACACACTCGTACATCTGACCCTCTAACCTGCCCCACCTACGTAATTACTGCATCAGAGGCGCTGAAATTCCTGCAGGTTATTTTGGAGAAACCAACTCAGGGCGCAGGAGTAATTATCGCACCATTACAGCGCTGCATTCAATTACGCCTCGATCAAATGTCTCCCGGCTCAGTGTTGAGGGCTTTTTAGCATCGCGGTTTAAAAAAGACACAGCGTGTCCCTGCAGCGAGGAGCAGAGATGTTCGTGTTTCCATTTAAACACAGGGAGGATTAAACCAGCGCGCTCTAAAATGGAAATCCAGGCCTACACGCGTTCACGGCGGCTTGTATTAATTATGCACTAATCTGCATTTACCCCCGTTATAATTAAGAAAACAAGCCTTTAAATAAAAGTGTGACTAGTTGAAATGAGAGAAGACAGGAGGTGTGTGGAGTTTGTAATTCTGTGGTGCGTCTAAAAAGAGAGAGAGAGGTAGAGAGAGAGAGAGAGAGAAAGGCTCGAGTCCCTGTTGTGATCCAGCAGAGACAGAATGAATTGTGGGAAAATAAAATAAATATGACTTAACGGATCTTTATTGGATGAACATGTATGTAAGGGTGGTCGCCTCAAAGATACATTCAACATCTCACTGTCATGTTGGAGTTTTATAAATCCACATTTCCTCTGCAACAAAAAAATATTTTTAAAAAGGAAAAAAAATAAAATAAAAAATGCTTTGACTCCAAGTAATCAAGCCAAGTGCTGCGGTTCAAACATCACGACAACGCCCAAGAGAGGAGCTCTGGAAATGTAGAGGCTAGATTCATAATCATCAGAATTAGAACATCCGGAAAAAACTAAACGTGGCCTGGACCTGAGCCCAGAATAGATCTGCATCTTCCTAAGACATTTCAGAAAAAGCCCAAACATTTTCTCTCCGAGTCAAACGATGAATATAAAAACTGAACTTTATGGCCAATTTGTTCTCTTTGGAATATTTGGAAAGATTTACATACACTTTTTTTTTCTTTTTTTCTCCCAAAGTGGTAATAAACAATTTAAAATCCAGAAAAAACACCAACTAAACATGGTCACTGTAACTGACCCAAATACATATTTACAGATTTCAGCTCCTCAACGCAGCTGACTAAAAATCTCTGTCGTCCTAAAATAACAAATTTTTTTCCAGAAATAAAAACTGTACAGGGTTTGATTGGGTCGGAGGTAACGAGGGCGGCGCAGGACTCAGGTCCTGCAGCAGAGGGGAAAGTATCCAGAGAGCTGGTGGTCGCAGGAGTTTGGTTGAAATGACTTTTTTTCTTTTTTTAAATGTGTTTGGGAAAAAACAGTTTAAGCTCATCCATGAGGGGGGCTTCTTAAAACCCCTCCGTTCTTCATGGTCAGGAAACTGCTCCTGGAGTTTTCTCTTCACACGGCTGGAGGGAGGCTGCTCTTCTTTTTTTTTGTTATTTTTCATTTTTAAAAAGACGTGGAGGACGAGAGGGAGGAGAAAAAAAAAAACAAAGTCCGATTTGCTGAGCATTCCTGCTGCTATCTTGTCATCTGATGGTTCATAAACTCTTTTTGTCTTTTAGAAAACGAGCAGTTCGCTAAATCTGGAGCGTCAACGAGGGAGCAGGCGAGCAGGGAGGGGAGAGGAAGGGGAGAGGAAGGGGAAAAAAAAGAAAAGAACAAGATCACAAGACTTGGAACCTCCAGGAGGCCTGGTCTTTGTAGTCCAAGCAGTCTGTGGCGTTAAAGTTGAGCTTCCACGAGGAGGCTGCAGTCTGCTCTTTGTAATCCAGGCAGTCGGACGAGTTGAAGGCCAGGCCGGAGCCGCCGTAGGCCTGGTGGTGATGGTGGTGGTGGTGGTGGCCCGATGACTGGCTGATGTGGTGGTGCGGGTGGCCCGACATGGAGGAGGCCGTCATGGGGCTGAGCTGGTGGGGGTGGTGGTGAGAGTGCATGGGAGCCAGGTAGGATCCGCAGTCCACGCCGCTGAAGTAAGAGCTGGACGGGGCGGGGTAGCCCTGGCCGTAGCCCGGCGTCTGGTTGTAGGACATGGGGTAGGAGGTGGCGGCGGCCGCGGAGCCTGACATGGAACGCTGCATGCAGGACGCGTTGGACGGTGGTCCGGGCTCGGGGAGCGGGGCCACGGCGGGAGCAGGAGCGTTTCCAGGGGAGATGGCGGGGCTCCAGATGGAGGAGACGGTGCTGATGGAGGTAGAGGTGCTGCTGAGCGCCACCGGGCCCGTGTGGTTGGTGGTGGAGGACGAGGACGAGGACGAGCCGGTGCTGGAGACGGCCGGAGGCGTGAACTGGCCGCTGCTCTCGGACCCGGTGCTCTCCCGGGCCGGGGAGGACTTCTTCTTGGGCGGCCTGGCTTTGGCACTGCTGCCGCTCTGCTGCTGCTGGCGACACTTGGCCCTCCGGTTCTTGAACCACACCTACAACAGAGGACGCCAGCCAGGAGTTAGCAACCGTTCACACCAACAAGGGAAACACTCGCCCAGACCATGCTGAGATACATTATGGAGGAAAATTGGGGGTTATTAGGCAGCGAGGTTCATTTCCACTGCGGCCCCTTGGCTCGGACCAGCCAGGAGTCTCATTTCATACCTGGTAGACGGCTCTAAGATAACAGGCTATTGGGTTTCACCACACACTGAGGTAACTCTAGAGCACCGGGAGGGTCGGATCATGTAGAGCATTTTGTTTCACACACACATTCTGAGAATAACTCAAATTGTGAGAGCGAGGCCGGCCCTGGTTTCCCCCCCTAATGCCTTTCAAGAGCAGTATTTGTTCGACGCTGTCCAACACCACTGAGGGTTTTCTGTGGATTTACAGGGAGAGTCCGTCTCTTCATCGCTGATCCAGCGTTTCAGATCAAATTACTCAGCGTTCAGTCAGGATGCGTCGAATAATCACACGAATCTGAAAATGATCCTCTCGAATGTGAGATAACGTCGTGCTTACATGTGGACAAACAGTCCGTTCTGCTCGGACGAGCTCCGAGTAACAAACAAGAAAGTCTGAGTTCAGTCAGAGGCTGAAACACAGATTCAGTCAGAAACTCTGTTATCCATTCAAAACAATGGGATAATTCTTCTTCTTCTTCTTATAATAGAGGATTAAAACACTGACACCAATCTTTATATTGAACTATTTCTTTTTCTCAAAGGTTAAATCAAGTTTTTGATTATTTAAATTGTTGTAAACACTCTGACGTCAGCAAAGGTCAGTTTGATTGAATGAATTGAAGGATTTTCTTCTCAAGTGATGATCAGAAGTTAATGAATTCAAGTCGATGTAACAACTTCTCAAATAAAAAGACAATTTCAGCTTCATGAAGTTTCTGATATTTAATTTTGATGTTGAACATAAATTTATAACAAAGATAAAAAATAGAATAGTAATAAACATCTTCACAGGATGAAGCAGTTTCTTCTCACTGAGGTAAAACCTGAAGTATGAGTCTGGTCGTGTTGTTACCTGGACTCTGGACTCCGGCAGGTTGATCTTCAGCGCCACCTCCTCCCTCATGAAAATGTCCGGGTACCGGGTCTTAGCGAATAAAGCCTCCAGGACGTCGAGCTGCGAGCGGGTGAAGGTTGTTCGCTCCCGCCGCTGCTTCCGTGGCGTCGCTGCGGGGAAGAAAACACCAGAGGACCGTCAGTGAAACCGGATTAAACCTGAATTAAACCTGAAGTTAACCTGAATAAATCTGAATAAACCTGAAGTTAACCTGAATTAAACCTGAATAAAACTGTGAAGTTAACTGTTAAATCATAATTATGATCGTTTTGTTCTAAATCTGGTGAAATGTTTTTGTCTCATTTTGTTTCTTTTACTTTTCTTCATAAAAATTGTGTGAAATGTTTTTTTTTTTCTTTCTCATCAAAGTCAAAGAAAAAAGTTTTTGCTCTTGAATCTTTTCGTTGTTAATTTAAACACCGTTGATCTGAACTCATCTAGAGGCTGAGAAATAAAATGAGAATCACTTCAACCATGTTGTCGGTGTTATAATTATTATTATTAGTATTATTATAATTATTATAATTATTATAATGAAATACACTCTGAAGGTCGCTTGTTCTGTGTGAACAGTGAAGAATTAACACACACACACACTTCTGTTTCAAACACTGACGACACATTTTACTTTAAATATGTTATAATTGGATTAATTCATTTATTTTGCAGGATGTAAACTTTTTAAGATTATCGCTCTAAACGTTTTGAATCTTTTACAGACTCTGAACCTTTGAATAACTATTATTATTATTATCATCAGATATTTTCCTTCCTTCTCTTCGCGATGACTGGAGCTGGTGTGTTCATATGTAACGTGTGTGTGTGTGTGTGTGGGACTCGAACCTGGGTAGCCCACTGACGGGTGTAGCAGGTCCATGGCCGCGCCGCTGAGCCCCAGGCCGTTGACGCCGTACGGGGGCTGTTTGAGGTAGGACATCATGCTACAGGCGGTCACTGCTCCACCCAGCTCCGGCCACTGGTTCGGTTTCCCCCGATGCTGCAGCTTGACGGGACAGGGGACCGATCCAAGACACTGCGCACAACCAGAGGAGCAGAGGGGGTCAAACATCCACGAGGAGTAAATATAACAACATGTCGATGAAGAAGAATATTTAGTTCATGTTTTCATTCATATTTAATAGATCATTTAATTCTCAGCCAGTAATTAGAACAAAGTCTCATTTTATTTTGAGTCTGTTGAGAAAGAAAAATGATTAAAAGACTCAAAGCTTCGAACTTTAGTCGCAGCAACAAATTAAAGTTATGATTCTGTTGAATTACGAAGTTAAACCAGTTTTTAAATCTCTTCAGAAACTGGAAGTTAAACTGAACTCAGAAAACTCAGAGGAGAAAAAACTGTTGAGATATTTTCACGTGAGAAGAGTTTGATTGTTTTTAAGAAATAAATGAATCAGATGAAAGTGATGCAGGTTATAAATATAAAGAATCATTTCATTCCTCTGATCACATGATCTTCACTTTTATTCATTATTATTAATTACTCTACCTGCAGAATATTCCCTGTTAAACACACACACACACTTTATCCATCAAACACGATGTGAAATATATCAACTTAAAACTTTTCTCTGCTGCAAAAATCCAAATAATAAAGAAACAACTTTGACTCTGTTATAAAACACGCTGTGGAGGTCAACCACTGAAATAAACTGAAGAAAAGAACTTATACACATTTATTTGACACGTTTGAACACGTTCAAAGCCAAAAGGT